CAATAAGAATTATCTATTATAGGTAAGACAAATAAATATCCATACGCATTTCAATATCATTTTCAATTTTGTTTAAATATTTTCTTTTTATCATAGATAAGGGGACTGCTGCCAGAAGGTGTACATTTCTAACTACTAATTTATTGTTATTTTGAATAAATATGATTTTTTTGTAAAGATGCCTGCAAAGAAAAAATAAAATAAATTGAATCCGAATTTTCTACGCTCTGCACGTGCCGGATTCAAACCAATACCCATAATATTCCTGCAAGCATTTTGAAGTGAGTTTTTCAATTTAACATTATAGGATAAGAACTCCTAATACCAGCATGTACCAGTAGTCGGCATCTGTTGTATATAACGTCAAATAACTAAAAAAATACACCGAATATGAAAAATACCTTGAATAATCTTCAAAAATACTTCAACCTAACTCCGTGTAAAATTTCGTCGAGCTAAGTGCATTTATTAAGCCAAAATTTTGCATTTTGTCAATAAGGGTTTTCAATATTAGCGATAATTCACGTTTCTTAAGAAAAAAATAGTGGGCATGTCGATTTTAAAAGACTTGTAACTACATTAAAATTATATACGTTTTAGAACCTATATACAATATGGTGAAAAAAGGCACTCGGGATGGTGAAACGTTTAAAATGCGAAAATCTTTAAAGTGCCGACTACTGGTGCACTTACCCCATAATTATCTAGTTCGAAACATCTCGTTTGTTAAAGGGTGATGCCATTCAATAAGAATGCAAAATGCCAAATTAAAGAAGCCTACCAATGTTCAGTACTAAAATTCAGAATGTAGTACTCGTTTCCTTGATCAAGATCAATATTCTTCCCATTTGTAAAAGTTTGCAATAGTGTTCACTCTGAAGGTTTCATTCGAAGATTAACCATAACCATTAAATAATGAGGGGTATTTTACGTGAAAACGCCACCGAATCGTTATAGAATGTCACACGACAATCGATTTTCTTATAAAAATCCAAAAGCTTGGGTGCTAGTAAAAGATTTTCCTATAGAGGTTCATGTGAAATTATCCTGGACATGACCGATATTTATGTCGTTTTTTTATTCCTTCAGAAATTATTTTTTTTTTTTAATTCAATTTTTAAGAACAAGAACTTTTTGCAACATATAATGTTACCATCAGCTGGCTTGATGCCCACAAGGTAGAGGGTATCTTTTGTCAACAAAGAGGCAAAATATACCATTCCTTGTATATTTGTACCATGAATTATGTATTTCGAAACATCTCTTTGGATGAAATCGGTTACTCCATTCGAGAGTTATCGGGTACACAAGCCAGGCGGATGGACATTTGCAAATCGACTCCAAATTGTCTGAAACGGATTTAGTCCACAAAGAAACATGGACCCAGAAAAACCAATATTTTGCGTAACAAAGTATATATATACCCTCATTAGCCATCAAACTGAGGGTATAACGTATTCGACTGTAGGGGAGACAGGGGCACTTTCGGCATTGGCGTTTTCGATTTAAAGCTCTCAGTGTACATCACTACCATTGATCCATAGGTAGTGATGTACACTAAATCTAATAACATTTCGAAAGTATTTCGTGTATGAAACGTTTCACATTTTAAGTCAGTAACATTAAAAAGTTCTTTGAGATAGAAACAACGTTATTTCTGATGGTGAGTATGTCATTGAGACGTCAACGTTCGCGCTACAAAATATAGCGTTAAAAGTCAAACTTTAAAGGATCTAAATTTTAACCAGACTGATAGCGGTGATAATTACCATGCTATGACTATGGCGCCGAATGTGCCCCATTCAATGCGAATTTGACTTTTTTTACAAAACGGTAAAAAAATTTTAACTAATACTAATATATTGTACGAGTTTTTATAATTAAGTATCAGACGACAATAACCAGCCATAAAGTTTTTATATCTGTTGAATAAGTACTGAGATATAGAGCTCTGAAAAAAGTACCGAATGGTCCCCAGTCTCCCCAACACGTTTATGAACACTTTTTGCGATCAATCCTTGTCGACTGCCAAGGTAAACTGAAGTGTATGCATAGGAATCTTGGTTTTTTGTGTAGAGGTTAGGGTATAACGTAACATTTACTCAAATCGCGAATTAAACGTGTTGCTTAATATACTCACAGGACATCCTACACTTTATAGTCAACTCCAGCAAGTCAAAATCCACCACCACACGATGCTGTCCTTCGCCACTTTTGGAGAGGCAACAATGATATACAAGAGATAAATGCACAAACAGTCATGCCATGCCCTGGCTCAGTGACCCCTGCTGTTTGTTTTTGCGATGCCATTGTTTGCCAACGGAATTCAATGATTCTATTTCCCCCGCTGAAACATCCAGGGGATTATTGTGATTTTTATTAGATACCACATCCTGTGAGAAATTATCATATTTACATCGTTTATTACAGTTCATCACTTTAGCTCTTCGAGGCAATCCCATTCTTTTACAGAGCATTACTCTTGTTGGCTGAGTTAAGCCAGATATGCGTGCGGTGGTCGTGGTGTGAGTATTGACGGCGTGAGTAATTTATAGCCGTGATGCTGTGATGTTGTTGCCGACAGGAACCAAACTTAAAAGTTAACAACTTTTAAATACCTTCGAATTGTTGTTCCGCCCAGTTGTCTGTTTGTAGGTCATAAAGGAAAATGATATCTTCATCAGGTGGAGGCATTTGAGTTTAGTGGAAATCCGAGCAATTTCCACCTTTATATCGCAATTCAATTAAGGACAGCTTTAAGGGAGCAGTTTGAAAACCCTTTTGTTAGTTCATACGTATGTGCGAAGGATAAGTTTCTTATCACTTAATGAGGAAATGTGTTTGTTTTGTCCATTATTTGGAAAGGGTGTGAAATCGATGACCTGCAATATATTTTAGGTTTATCGGAGTCCGAAGATCTACACGTACGCACGTACATATGTGAATTCCAAGGATGCGCATGCCAGTCCTCTCAATTGACCGCAGAGTCAGTGAGTCCTTAATGTTTATACCCTTGAGGACTATTAATGCCCAAGTGGTAACTATTCGGAGATTTCAATCGAAACTGCTATAAAAGCACAATCGACAATTTAACTCCTTCAACGCATACACTAACATCTGTGTTCAAGTTTTTTCGGTTATCGAAAATGTTACAGTTTTACACAGGTTAGGAACATTGCACATTTTGTTGCGGGTGGGCAACGTTGGTGCCCAAATGGTTAACATAATTTATTAAATTTGTATGTGTGTTTGAGCCAATATGAAGGAAGCTTGCGGAATACGGATATCTTAGAACTTATACCCAAATCTTCTATTTCAGTAATATGTCATTTGAAATATTCTTGGCAACAACGGAACACCTTAACCTTTCCAATTTCCAGTGTATAACCGTTTTTTCACTCAAGATCCGGATGACCTCTTCAATGGGTTTTCAAAATTTCTTCATGATTTATTATTAGGTATTTATTTGGGTTTTGTTCAAAACTTTGCACAATGTTATTAGTAAACGTGATTTTATGATTTCTACACACTATATTTATGGATGTTGAGTATATATTTACTTTTATGAAAATTATCCAATTTGACTCATACCAGAAAATTTAAGTTTTTTTTTTGTGAAGAAAACTGTTCCAATTCAATTTTTACACCCAGCCTAGATGCAGAAATGTCTGACAAATGCGTATCTGGCTGGATAGTGTGCACAATAACTCCCGAAAGGTGTTATCGATTTAATCCAAACTTTGCACTTCATAATATTTCTTTCATGTTCGAAGATAGATGGTCAACATTTTGCTGGAAAAATTAATTATATCTGCATAACTTGTTGTCATTATATGAGTTAAATTGACTCACAACCGTAAAAATAGGCACACCACATTCAATAAATAACAATTTTTAGACCAACATGTTTTACAATTAAAAAAAAAAAAACCCTACGCGTGTTTGCTCTTTTCCAGAAAGTGCATAATTGTACTCATGATATGTTTACCAAAGGCACCACACACTATACATCTTGCCGCACAGCCAGAGATTTTTTCTTCAAAATCTTAAAATTAATTTTAATACTTCAATAGATTTTTAATAAATGACTATTTTTAAATAAAATTTAAGTTTGGCACGAAGCTAGGAGATTGTAAAACAAGATACGAAAGTAACATTATTTAAAGAAATTCACGGAGAAAACGGTTGTTTTCTAGCAGTGGTGTTGCCGTTTTTGGTGTTCTCTTAAAAGGACGGCGGCGCCAAATGAGTTAATGTATGTGTGACAAAGACACAATGCATGAGAAAAATCATTTTCAAAACTGTCAGCAAATAAATAATTTTGTTTCTAATAATAATAAGATTGAAATGAAATAAAAACGGAACTGAGTTTACGAGTCAAAATTGATTTTTTGTTTCACCACAAAAAAAATCTGCTTTTAGAATTTCAATTGAGCCATTGCACAAATTACAAATATTTAAGAAAAAAGTCCCTTACCGACACTTCACCGGTGTGTTTGAATTGTATGTAATAGTTACAGATGTTGTCTGTATTTTTGCTTAATTCACGAGTAAACAATGAAGATCATATTGTGGCAATAATAACCTCAACTCCCATAATATAATATTACCCTTTTTAAACATTCGCCACGTGGACAATAGATTGTAATGTGAACTGCGTTCAATTGGTTTAGTTGGGATTTCAGTAAGTGCATGCGCAAGTGTCACTTCAATGGGAACTGGCTGTGTGTGTGAATGTCTACTGGATGTTGTGCCTTTGACTCGGTGGCCTCCCATTTGTTCATTCCTTGCCTCTCACCGTTGGGATGTTTGCACTCCTGTTGTTCCAGTTCCACGTTGCAAGCAGAGTTTGTTAGTACGGCGATGACAGTTGCCGGAGAAGTCTTTAAAACAACGGACGTAAATCGCTCGCAAGTGCACAGTCGAATATTTATATCATTATTTTCGGTGTTGAAACAAATATATATTTTGTAATATAAACTGTGAACTGTGTTATCACAATGAGCGTGAGTGTTGATGTTGGCGTTATGTGGCGTCTTTCTGAGGATATAAACCGCCGATATGCAGTTCGTATGCAGCCACCGCCACCCCCGCACCATCACCATCCGCATTATCAAGTGCACACACCACATCATCACCATCATCATACCGCAACCATGCGTTCGGTGCTCTTTAATGGTCCGTAATTGGGATAGTTAATAAGTATAAAAAATCAAATGTATAGGTCTGAACAATCGGACACAACTGTTCATTTATATTTCTTCAGATGCCTGTTATTCTTAAATTGAAATGTAAATCCTATATCTGATAAACCGTCGGACTGCATTAAATCCGAATGGAACGCAAATTCTTGCAGTCGAATTGTTGCCCATACACAACGCCAACAAAATTAAGCGAATTTACAGAAAAAAACTGACAATCGCAAATGCATCAACAAAAATCTGTATTAATGTTTGATAATGTAATCAGGTACAGTTGTTTGCCGCGTATTAGCCATACATGTTTCTAATGTACGTTCCCACAACAAATGAAGAACTAAGCTTTTTCCATGCCGACATTAATTTTCTAAACTTTGAACAACATCTTCGGCATTTGCAGGTTGGCTTTCAATTAATTGATATGCAATTTCATAGCGTATGTATCAGGCATGTCACAGAAACGAATTCCGATCGAAAGTGGAATAATTTCCGCACTTAGCTCCTTCAGAAAACGGAATGAAACTAGTTTTTATTTTATAGGTTGATTTAAATTTTTTCAGAAATGTATTGTGTAAAAAATGTATTGTTTTTATTTATAAATACACATTTAAATACATATTTGTTGTTTTTTGTTTCATTAAAAATGTTGCATTTTAAGTTAGCAATAGCACTGTGCTACAAAACAAAAAAATTATTCAGAAAATTACTTTTGGTTTTACCTTTGGTTTTTCTGGGTCACTTCGACAATTAGTTTTATAACGGTAAATGTAGAGAAAAACGGGGTCTCATATATTTTCAATTTGAAACGCGAATAACTTATTTACATTCTAACGGATTTATATTATTATGGATGACTTATACACATTTTTGTATTAATTCTAATCTCTAAAGGAACTATGGGTATATCTCTAATAAATAGTTGTTTTTTATAAAAACAACAAACTGGGATTCAGCCTGACTATTTTGCAAAAACAAAATTTGAAGTAATATGAAAAATAAATTCCATAAAATTGTATGTATTTCGATTGACATATTTCCAATAAATTAAACAAAATATATTTTCTAAAGCTGAACATTGCTCTCAAGATTTAACCATGGTTGTTAAAACTTATATTTATAAGTTTTAGTGACAGGGAACTTCAAAATATTTATAAATTTCAAGCGAAGATATTATCATTTAAATTTTGAAAGCTGAATACTGTCAAAGGGAAATTTATTAAAAACTAGAAACATATGACTGCATGAGACTGCCTTGTATAATTATGTCATGATATCAATAAATAATTCTTAAAAAATATTTGAAATAAAAACTCAAAAGATGGGTCTTGACCTAAAGAAACGATTCGATTTCAAAAGGTCTTATCGGACCATCTCGCTGAGGGAAAAAAGACAATGTCAATAAATAGCAACGACAATAGCAAGGACAATTAGTTTCAATAAAATCAGCAATAAGCCGTAACCAATGGCACTGAATCTCAACGCTTAAAGAGATCAAGACGAATGCATTCCTCACAAGGCGTCAACATTTGACAAATTTGCAAATCTCGTATAAAGCTAGCGGAATATCAGATTTCATTTCAACTTCCAAAACACAATGTTTCAAATATTTAATTTTAATATGAAGTTAATGGTGTATCGTCTAGAAGGGTCAAGATGTTGAAAATGTTTAAATTCCATACTACTACAGTTTTTGATAATTTCTTCAAGTAAGCCTTACTCTTTTTATTGTACCATGGTTGTAAGTATATTATATCTCTGCTTCTAGTGGATTGAAGGAAATACACCTGTGCTCTGACTGGTGGCTTTATTCAAAGTTGTTATTAAAATTCGGATACTATTGCGGTTTTTAATTTTCTAACGTTACATGGCAATATAAATTTATTCATTTGCGAAATTATTGGGGTAATCGGATTTAAAAAAAATCTAAATAGAACTATGGAAAAAATCGGAAAACCTGTAAAATGTCTCCAAATATTTCATAATCGCATTGAAAATCTATATTTTGTTTATTTCAGCAAACGTTTCGATTTCAGCAAACGAAGAAACAAAAATAAATTCTGTCATAATTAAATTCGTTCAACTCTAAAAATTCGTACGTCGACGTATTTCGGCTACATTTGGTCTGTTCCCCTTACTTTTTTAATAGTAAATATAGTAAAAGGGAAACATTTCAAAATCGCACTCAAAGTACAAAATAATTTCAAAATTTTCGGGAAGGCAAAAATTGTAAAATTAGTAGATTTTTTTAGGTTATGGAACGGAACTATTGTAATATATGCGTTTTACTTTTGTAGTGAATAACATCGGACGTTAGTTGTATTTTAGGTAGTGCTCAAAAGTGTAAAACGTACATGTTCAAAGTTTTATAAACATTGCAAATTATTTTAATTTTTTTATGAGCATTTCGGGGAAAAGATAAACCAAAGACGAAGAATTTTTTCTTTAATGGTTCTTATACACGTGAAGTTACGACAAAAGTACAAATTTATCATTTTTTTCTTCTTGTTCTTAGCATAAATACTAATTAAAGACTACAAATATGGATACAGCAGAAATAACTGCAAAATTAAAAATGTCGCGTGGGTTAAGTACATCAATAATGCTCGATATTTCGCTCTATTGTGGAGTTTATCTCAAATATAATGAAACCCCATCTTTTGTGGATTTTATCTCAAAGGCATAGTCCCTTATAATGAAACCCCCTAAGTAATGTTAGTAATGGGCACGTATACTTTGCCACTGAAGACCTTATTTCATGGCATAACTATACAAGGTAGTCCCATGCAGTCATATGTTTCCAATTTGTTCATAAATTTGCCATTGACAGCATTTAGCTTTCAAAATTTAAATTAAAACATCTTCCACAAAATGTACGCATATCATGTGTTCAGTGGCAAAAATTGCTAAATCATATTTATAAATATTCTGAAGTTCCCTGCCTCTAAAACTTGTAAATATAAGATGTAACAACCATGTCTAAATCTTGAGAGAAATGTTCAGCTTTAGAAAATATATTTGGTTTAATTTATTGAAAACATGCCAATCGACATACATACAGTTTTATGGAACTTATTTTTCATATTATTTCAAATTGATTGATGAGTTCCAAATTAAAAAGAGTTGCCATTTTAAAATTCTCAAATGAGTCTACCTTCTGTAATTTTGACATGCTTTATTTATAGGCCATGCCGTTAATCAATTTTCCAAAGACCGGCATTTTAACGACGTTGTAATAAACGATTTCGACATGACATTTCATAATAAACAGTAAACATGGTACCAAGGTATATTAAGAAGGTAACCGTATCAAACCAGCTGATGGTAACATTATATGTCATAAGAATTTGTTGTTGTTTTTGATTTTTTTTAAACCCATTTGTAAACAAAAATTTAAAAAAATTGAAAATCTATACTAATAAAAGAGTAAAGTGATTGACTGACTGACTGACTGATTTAACGATTCATCAACGCCCAGACGAAACGGCTGAAGCTAGAATCTTGAAATTTTGGGTGAGGGTCACTCTTGGCCCAAATGTGACAGATAAGGCTGGGTTTTTGGAAATTCGTACTAGAACGATACGAAAAGTACTAAAAAGTACTAGATATGATATTATTTGTATTTGGCGAACCAGTAGAGCTAGAACTCTGAAATTTGGATTGAGGGTCACTGATGGAGTGTAGGATAGATGTACCAAAGGGTTTTTGGAAATTCGAACTACAACTATCCGAAATGTACGAAAATGTACTAAATTTGGTACAATTCTGTAGCATGAGAACGGATAGAGCTAAAAACTTGAAATTTGGAATGCGAATTAGGGTTGGGAAGTAGGGTCGATATAAGGAGATGGTTTTGAAACCGTGTACTCATGTGTACGAAAAGTACTATATGGTACTATATTTGGTACAAATTTGATTTGGAGGTACAAATGGAGCTAGAATCCTGAAAATTGAAAGTAACATTACCGTCGGAGTATAGGATTGTGATATGTACGTAGTTTTGGAAATTTGTTACTTATGTGTACGAAAAGTACTAAATCGTACTATAATTGGTACAATTTGGATTTGGGTGAACCGATAGAGCTGAAACAATGAAATTTGGAGTTAGGATCATTTTAGGCGTGTAGGATTGGGGTCAGGACTCAGTTTAAGACATTATTACTTATGGGTACTAAATGGTACTAAATTTGGTGCAATTTGAATTTTAGGTGAACCAATTGAGCTAGAATCATGAAATTTGGAGTCAGGACCATAGTTGAGGTTTAAGATTGAGATATGTAGGGAGTTTTAAAAATTTGTACTAATGTGTACTAAATTTGGTACAATTTTAATTGTGGGTGAACCGATGGAATTGGAATCCTGAAACTTGGATTTAGGATCACTGTGTGGGTGTTGGTTTGAGTTAAGTAGGAAGTTGTGGAAATTCGTACCATTGTGTACTAAATTTGGTACAATTTGAATTGTGGGTGAACCGATAGAGTTGGAATCCTGAAATTTAGATTTTAGAGCACTGTGGGGGTGTTGGTTTGGGTTAAGTTGGAAGTTTTTGAAATTCGTACTAAATGGTACTAAATTTGGTACAATTTGAATTTTAGATGAACCAATTGAGCTAGAATAATGAAATTTGGAGTCAGGATCATAGTTGAGGTTTAAGATTGAGATATGTAGGGAGCTTTAAAAATCTGTACTAATGTGTACTAAATTTGGTACAATTTAAATAGTGGGTGAACCGATAGATTTGGAATCCTGAAACTTGGATTTAGGATCAGTGTAGAGGGTAGGATTGGGGTATGCAAGAAGTTTGGGAATTAGTACTACTGTGTACTAAATTTGGTACAATTTGAATTGTGAGTGAACTGATAGAGTTTGAATCCTAAAACATGGATTTAGCATCACTGTGGGGGTGTAGGACCGGGGTATGTAGGAAGTGTTGAAATTTTGTATTACTTTGTACTAAATTTTGTACAGTTTGAATTGTGGGCGAACCGATAGAATTGGTATCTTGAAACTTGGATTTAGGATCATTGTGGGGTGTAGGATTGGGGTATGTAGGAAGTTTTAAAAATTCGTACAAATGTGTACTAAATTTTGTTCAATTTAAATTTGTGGTGCACCAATACAGCTGGAATCCTGAAATTTGGAGTTAGGGTTACCGTTTGGGTTACAGTTTCAAAATACACTGCGTATCATAACTATAGACGCACCCTTCATTCAATTGGTATGTTAGTTGACAAATAAAATGGACCCATTAAGTTATTGTTCACAATAAAACGATCAAAAACACATATTATTCAACAAAAATAATTAATTTATTCTTTATGGTTTCGCCGAATTCTGCCCTTTCAAAATTGCTGGTGTTGCATAACTATAGACGCACTTTTGCAAAATTAGAAAAAATTATTTTTTAAAACTTAAATAAAATAAAATAACTATTATAAATAATGGGTGGGGCCTCCCTTATTTTGAATAAGTTCAAAAATTTTATCCATCACACTGTTGATCAAAATTATTCGCAAGTCTTCATCGATTGACCGCCATTCATCGATAATCACTTCTTGGAAATAAAATAATGTTTGGTATTGGCTGTTTTCTGCATAGACACGACGAGTCAAGATTCCACACATGTTCTCGATCGGATTCTGGTCGGAAATTTTAATAATTTTCGATTTTAACCATACTTGAGTATGGCCACTTTTATGAACTGGTGCGTTGTCCTGCTAAAAAACGAGTCCTTGATTGTTGCTGCTTTCCCAAAATGGCAATAATTTGTCTTCCAAGACTTGAATGTACTCCATTGAATTCATCCGACAACATGGAAATGAAACTGTGTATTAAATGGCACTAAATGGCACCGATAGAATCCTGAAATTTGAAATTAAGATTGGGTTATGTGGGAAGTGTTGGAAATTGTTATGTTAATGTAGGAAGTTATGACAATTTATATTTTTATGTTTACTAACTGGAACTTAATTTGGATTTGGGTGAAGCTATATGTGAAATTTGGAAATTTAACTAAATGACACCAAATTTTGTATAGTGCTTGATTTATTTTGCGGTCAGAATTTGTGTGTAGGGTACTAAACGGTTTTAAAAGTGTTAATATTGGTTGGTATTGGATTTTAAATACTTCCCACATTCGCTGACGAAGTAGCGGGTATATGCTAGTAAAGAATAAAAAAGTATAAAAAGGCATAGCGGTAGGCTATGGAGATGGTATTTCATTAAGAAGACCATGGAATCAAATACAAGACCTTGGGATCGAAAAGAAGATTTGGTTCGATAGGTCCTTTTTGTCCTCTTTATACATTGTTTTCAAAATTTTCATGTGAGGGCATGACAAAACTACGTAAAGAATAGCTTAAATCTTGTTATCTCTCACTGCATCCGATGTCACCAACATTATCACATTTAAGCGCACTTTTGATGTATCTTTCTATCAAAAATCAGATATTTACACAACTTATTTTAAATATTTTCAATTTTCAAAAAGTAAACAAATATTTTTTTCCAAAATGCTTAATTCTGATTGGTTGAATTTAATTCGCTTCGAGTTTTTTATGTCACGGCGAAATTAGTATTATTCACCTGGTAAACAATTTTGACATATCATGTTCCCAATTCGCCGATGCGGCTACCTTGTATATCTACCTTGCATGGTACAATTATAAAAAGTAAATGTAAACAAATATTTTTTTCAAAATGCTTAATTCTGATTGGTTGAATTTAATTTGCTTCGAGTTTTTTATGTCACGGCGAAATTAGTATTATTCGCCTGGTAAACAATTTTGACATATCATGTTCCCAATTCGCCGATGCGGCTACCTTGTATATCTACCTTGCATGGTACAATTATAAAAAGTAAAAGTAAACAAATATTTTTTTTTTCAAAATGCTTAATTCTGATTGGTTGAATTTAATTCGCTTCGAGTTTTTTATGTCACGGCGAAATTAGTATTATTCGCCTGGTAAACAATTTTGACATATCATGTTCCCAATTCGCCGATGCGGCTACCTTGTATATCTACCTTGCATTGTACAATTATAAAAGGTAACAGCAAATCCCAGCTGATTTGATTCCAACGTAATACTAGTGTCAATATGAATTTGACAAATTATGTTTTTAAAAATCACCCAACAGGAAAATTGCGAACGCATACAGTTTGAAATTGTTCTTTATTAAATTTACTCAATCTGCCTGCTGGGAAAGTTTGAGGAAGCAAATCTTTTTTCATGGAATAACTCGCAATTCCCTGCATTTTCATATGTGTTACACATATAATTGGCAATGGCTCAATTAAAGGAAAGATGTGGAAGCGATAGATATATAAATTTGATAGATTTTCATTCATGTTTTTCAAATTTTATTTTGAGGATTCGAAAATATTTCATTTTCAAAATTTATATAATTTGTTTGTTTACATTTCATTTTCAAAATTTATATAATTTGTTTGTTTGTTTACATTTCATTTTCAAAATTTATATAATTTGTTTGTTTGTTTACATTTTTCTGTCAAATAACGTTGACACTAGTATAACTTACAACAACAAATTTCCATGTGGTTGTTGTATCGATTGTTGTACAACAACACTTGCTGTTACCTTCTATTATTATATGACAGAAAATTTAAGTTCCGTTCCAGAATCTAAAAGAATCTACTAATTTTTTAAGGGAACACAAACAAAATGACGTTCTATTTGTAAACTTTTTACTCGAAACTTTTGTACGAGTAAAAATGGTAAACAGGAATGCCAACTTCTGATTAGCTGTTATATTGATTTTGAAGTATTCCCGAACTTTTTAAATTATTTTTTACTCTGAGAGCGATTTTGAAATATTTCTCTTTTACTAGCTATTTTATTAAAAAAAGTACTAGAACAGACCATTAATATCATGGCTATATTTTTGCTGGAATTTCATATTGGTTGACTGGTATATGTATCTGTTCTTCAAACTAAAGTTAAGCTTAAACTGCATTTGTTTTAGAACATTTGGTTCAACATCCTCTATGAGGATTTATTTGACATATGGGGTAAGTGCACCAATAGTCGGATAAAGATTTTCACATTTTAAACGTTTCACGATCCCGAGAGCATTTTTTTTCACTATATTGTATTTAGGTTCATGTTTCCAAATTTTGTTTAATCCTCGATTCAATAAAAATTTGTCTAATTAACTTGTATGTATAAAAAATAATTTTATTTATTAAAATATTCCAAATATAAAAACAATTATAAAACATCCAATTATCGGCATGGGTAAATAAGGCATTTCAAAGGTTAAAAGAATTTAAGATTAAAACCATGTCTTCCATTATATAAAGCCACTCAAAAGTAATCGTCATTTAGTGTACTACTTTAACATTTTTCCAATTTTGAGCCAAAATGATAGAAAAGGTGCTTATTATTCACTCATATGCCGACTATAGGAAAACCTTAAAAACATTTTGTTCCAATAGATAAAAATATCATAATTACAAATATTTTTTAATGATTTTAAATTCTAAAGTATTCTCCTTTATGTTCTTTACAATTACGAAGAAGATCCTTGTGAAAAATATATAATATTAATGTAGTTACAAGTCTTTTGAAATCCACATGCCCACTAATTTTTTTCTTAAGAAATATGAATTATCGCTAGTGTGACAAACCTAAGTGACCAAATACCAAATTTTGACTGAGTAAATATACTTAGCTCGATTAAATTTTAGACAGAGATAGGTTGCAGTGTTATTGAAGATTATTCAAGGTATTTTTCATATTTAGTTATAGGATTTTTAGTTATTTGAAGTTATATAAAACAGATGCCGACTATTGGTTCATGCCGGAATCAGGTGCGTTTACCCTATATTATGGAATTGACAATTTATATCTACTGGCGTTAATAAATCCGATACAATGTAAAAAAACTTTAAATAATTGAGAGTTTCAATTCAATGAAATCGAATGTACATCCACATTCGAATGAATTTTTAATATTTGTCTTTGTTTCTTGTATTCCTTGTGTGCGTAGATCCATATCAGCTTTTAAATGCGGCTTCACACCGATTGGTTGTTCAAGGTTCGGGGCAGATACAACTGTGGCAGTTCTTGCTGGAGCTGCTTGGCGATTCGTCAAAAAGCAACTACATAGCATGGGAGGGAACGAATGGAGAATTCAAGTTGGTCGACCCCGACATGGTGGCGAAGCTCTGGGGAGAGCGAAAGGCAAAACCGAATATGAACTACGACAAACTCAGCAGAGCTTTACGGTAAGTAAACATATGTACGAGTGTATCTGTGTTCGAACACAAGAGCGACCACATACACCAACTGAATAGTGCGCAAGGCATGTTCACAGCTAAAACCATACATATGAACAAACGTCTCTATGTTTACTGGATATGGGTATTTCCGCGAAAAGGTCAACCAAAACCGTAAAGTTGTTGTTTTTAATTGTACATCGATAATTCAACTTACGACAGCTTAAATACTAATGTAATGACTATAAATATTTATACAACTGCACAGTAAGCTGCGGTGGAAAACATATTGCATGAGTGACCCACAAAAATACTTCACAAAGAAACACTTGCACAATCAAAGTGCAATTATAATACATTTTATTATAAAAAGTATATTTAATTTACTAAAAAAATAATGGTAAATACCGAAAAAATTATGTTTGATTAACATTTAAAACATTTTAAATTTTATTCTGGCGCAGAAATGCCGATATGTTTTCTGGAGTTGTTTTAAAGCGTCTCATCAATGAAGCCAAACGATCGAAAACGGAACTTATCATAACACAGCTAACCAAATAGCCAAACTAAACACTTGGCAAAGATGTTTTAACTGATAACTTCAATGAATCCTAAACATGAGTTTTGTGTGATATTTTGGACACTTTTCGCAGGTCTGATGAATCTCTGTCTTGTGTCGACTGGAACATTTTTTACTCACTTTAAATTAAAAGGGTGATAGTTTGTGGGGGAGGTACCAGAACTGATAGATTTACACAGCCGATAGCTGCACTAAATGTAATTGGTCTTTTCTCATTCTTCAAGAATCTACTACTTTTTACTACCATAACAAATTTTCCGTTATGATATCGAAGAAAATAGCAAAATCTAGTAGATTCTTGCAGTACGAGAACAGACTACACACGATGTTACAAAGTCCAAATTAATGGATTAAATCGGATACTCAGTTCGCTTCAGAAGTACCAGAAGGAGTGGACCGATTGATCGCATCTTCGGACTTGGTTATTACAAATACTGACCCTTTATGGGGAGGAAATATAAGTAGTGACCTATAACTCCCGGATAGTCCGTTCGCATAATATAAAATTAATCTTCTGTGCCGAATGTGCCCCAATCTTCCTTACTGGAAAACTTGCATTTTTAAATTTAATAGCAACCATATAATGCGTGAAACGTTTTTCATGTACTTTCAGATACTACTATGATAAAAATATTATGACAAAAGTCCATGGCAAACGATACGCGTACAAATTCGATTTTCATGGCCTGATGATAGCATGCCAAACTCAGGCACAGGGCTGTGATGCTTCCGCGACCATTGGTATGCTCAGCCCTTACAAAGTTCCTCACCACCAGCATAGTCATCATCATCCGTATCATCCGTCGCCTCAGCAATCTACCATACATCCGTCCACATCGGACACACACCACAACATACATGCTTCCACATCAAATTCCAATGCTGACCAAACGACATCTCCCACATCCGGATCTAATATGGGATTTCCTTCGCCGGCAATGGAAGTCATAACACCTCATGCTGCGAGTAATACTCTAACGGGACTCGTCCACTCAACCCGGACTTCGGCGGAGAGTGTGACCACCGAAGACGTGTCATCGACAACCAACGATTCGTCCACACCATCCGTGCTCCCGTCATCGTCGTTAAATTCTCGAAACCCTTACTGGACTTATTGCAGCTCTAGCCTCGAGTCCCGGTCGTCGCAAACGGATGCATTTAATTAGCTGGAGGACAGTATGAATGCTCTTCCGGCAATTCAACTCCACATCAAGAGCACATAATGTCTGCATTGTCCTTAACATCACCACCCGTCGAGTAGACACAGCACAAAGGTCGATCCTCGTTTCATTGGCGCTTAATATTATGTGTGATACGATGTAACCCATTAAACCGGTATTAAGAAGACACACGTGAAGGACTGCCGCATCCACAGTTCATTTTATGTACATACATCGCATAAAAGCTCATTTATTGTTAGTAATATGTGTACACGTATAGACAAATTGTAGTATGTAATTAGTTTGGTCAACTACAAGCATTTTAAATGTTACGCAGGTACTTATTTCACCCCTATAAAAGATGTGTCCGATGGGAACACTCGGACTTTCAGATTGAATAAACTGTATGTATCTTCCTAAGGAAATCGTTGTTTTATTTGAGATCGCATGATAGGATGAGAATAACACCAACATTAATTTTCATTTGTTATTTTATTTCATACAAAGAAATGCAAAAAAAATCACGATTTGTATTTATGTCGGTTTTGCAGCAAATGAACGATACTATTTTAAAATGCGTTTAATTCACGCAGGTCGGTGCAAATATTAAACGGTACACCAAAAACTGCAATGAGTAACTTGTATATGGTGATATATAGTCCGCCTCCTTTTGTAATAAGGCTGGGAAAACGTTACCTAGTCTAGCTGTTTTGAATGGCGAAAAGCTCTTTAATTCATCGCGCACCATTTTCCCATCCCTTAAATCTAAAGATAACTTCTTTCAACTATCTTACTTCTCTACAAGAGCTAAAACACACCTTTAAGGATCTAAATACACACCTTTATGGATAAAAGAGGGATAGGGATACAAGAGATAAAAACACACCTTTAGGGATAGGAACCAAACGCGTTAAAAAATACCATAATGTTAAAAAGTTTTGGAAACACATCGGAACCAACACTCTCAGACTTGACGACACATAAAGCAAGGGTAACATTATCTTTAACAACACAAGAGTTTGGAAATAAGTGAGCCTCAACAACATGGCCAGTAAGATCCACTAGACCTTAAATGGGGGCTATTCCAAAAAATATATGGGTTAATACCCATACATTATTGCATTCATTGTTACACAGGATTGCAATAAATTGAAATTTATCACAACCAATCCACAACCTACCTTTTAACTTACTGGTCCACATTACCCGCATATACTGGTCCACATTACCCGCCAAGTTGTTTTTATTCGCAGTTATGATTTTTTTTAAATATAACGCAGTAACATTTTTATAGTCAAACATATATAATGTTTGACCTGGAGTATATTTAGACGACAAATCTACTATGTCGTGAAAACAATTTGTTTTCAGTTTTTATCGTTGGTACGCCCAGAATACCAAAAAAAGAAAATGGTGGTCCACATTACCCGAAGCTACACTAATGTATTTCGTTAACGCAGTGGGTTAAAATTGTCAATTCCCTGCAAGCATTTGGAAGTGAGTTTCTCAATCCCTTGGTTAATGAGTCACTTCCGCGTCACTTCTTTCCCGAGTAAAGGCGACAGTTTGTATATTTACAATAACAAAGCTATTGTTGTCTACCTTCTATCGACTTGGAGTTACTTCTAAGTGTCGTTTTGGAGGATAAAAGAAGACAGCTTAAATTTTACAATAACAATTTGCACAGTTTCAAAATGTTATCTTATTTGTTTGGGAAAACAGAGGAGAAAACATATAAATAACTCAGTTAAGGTAAGATTTTCAATGTGATTGGCAATCGACAAAGAAAAAGTGAATTAAAATTTATTATTAATTAAAAATAATAATAATATATAAGTTTTTAGATTATTATCTAAAAATTAATAAAAGAAGTTTAAAAAATCATTTTTATATTTGTGAATATATTAAAGTTATTATTAAAAAAAAAATGTGAATATCCATTTAGACTGGCTAAACAAATCGCTTTCGCAAGAAGTAAGTAATGCTAAAGTGAAAAAGAAGTGACGCCTAGGCGATAGAAACAGTTGCGGAATACAATCGCTTTCTTATCGCGGAAGTCACCTCATTCGGGAAGAAATGAACCACTCCCGCGTCACTTCTACGAAGTCACTTCCGCGTGTCTTCCAAAAAGTTATCCAGACGTTACTTCTTTGAAAGAATGGTTAAAGAAAATGTTCTTCCATATATGATATTCATAATGACATACAATTTCCTCCTCTCTTTCCCCCCAAAAACTTATTTCTGTAAATATTCACTATATGCCTTATACCACGTAATGGTGGAGACAACAATACTTTTTTTAGACTTCACCCATGAATCCATACTACTACTTTGTCTACGACGAATAATGGAAACAAAGTACAACTAAGAGATGACATTAAATTTATTAATTATTAAAGCCAACGAAAACATGATCAATTGGATACATATCCTGAGGAAAGATAAAAAAGCAATGGATGCAAAAATCAGTGAGTGATGAGAGTTTGATGGACATTGAAGTTGAACAGAGTATTTCGTTTCTCGTGTTACGGCATTGTGGAACGCTACGATTTTTAGTGTACCAACAAATGTACACTTCGATTTATAGTGGTATCCGGTATCCAACATGTAGAACACTACGATTATCGGTGTGCTCCGGCACAGTAATATTAAATATGTTTTAATGTTTGTGTTCCTGAACCCTAACTGTAAACATATTTTGGTGTTTCTGTAGCTGGAGCGGTACATCATTTCAGAGTACCGTTTCTTTTCAAACACTGTGGAAAACACATTAAATAAGTGATCGCAAATAATATGCGCTTCTAAGATATACCGGCTAACAGCATTTAATCGGAGTTAATCTATCTCCATTAGCTTCGATTAAATATTGTTAGCCGAAATTATAAAGTATGCGGAAAAGCATATATATATTTCATAATAATTTCTCCTCAATAGCTTTTTTAGTTGTCTTATAGCCTAGATAGCCTAGTTATTGCATTAACTGCCTTAATTCAAATTAACTTGTACATTATCCTCATTTTTATTGTTTGTTAATGCACAAAATCAAACTGAATTTAAACGGCATATACATTAGAACTTTTTACCGGGTTAACCTACTTTATGAGGATTTATTTGACATATATGCAAAGGAATTGACAATTGAATCCCACAGGGTTAACAAAATCCAGTTAAATGTAAAAATGGATTAAGCAATTTCAATATGGCAATGCTGTAAAAAATAAATTAATTGTTATCAATTTTATTTACGTTTATGAAAATAAAAGTTAGAAATAAAGGCAAAATTCAACATTTCTTCAAATTTGGAGCTGTTTTATATTCATTATAGCTGCTAGTTTTCTTCCTGTCATGTATAAATTTCATAAAGATGTAATCCTAAAAAACATTTTAAACAAATGTCAATATTTTCTTCCTACACACAGACAAACAATAGTTTTGAAACAAAAAACTGGTTCATAAATGCAGAAACTTTCGTATGTCAGGGTTAAATTCTAATTCAAATTAAGAACTTTTTAATGCAAATTAAGGCTGTCGTCTGTCTATGGTATTAGCTTCATATACCATAATTGTGGACAATTTCCATAATGATTTCACATTTTCGTGACAATTTCTAAGAATAAGTTGCTTTTGTGCCTTTTGTTTTTTTTTTGGAAAAGTAAACGAACTATACTACTGTTATACTTTATTTCGTGCGAGCGTGAGGCCCCTTTATAAAGATTGCTTGGCAATGGTAATTACCTCAATTGAATTACTGAAGAAGGTACACAAAAGCGAAATTCTAATGTTCTCCATGAATATGAATTAATAGTGGGGAATTGCGATAGTCGTCGCTGCCAGTCTCAGTTATTAGATGAAGGCAGACGCATTTACTTGACACCAAAGCGCATCGGTAAAATAATGTTGGTTTCGTCTGTCGCTTTAGCTTTTGCCGGACTTCTAGTATGTGCAAGTGGATCAGATCATGGTAGCTACGTTTATGTATAAATTTTATTAATAACTACTAAAATACGATACACTTCTACGTTACAGACTTAACGGGTGATACAGGTCGAGATTTGCTCAAGAAAACATTACTGGCCAACTACCACCCATCGTCAAGACCAGTACAAGCCTTAAACGAGACCGTAATTCTTTTCGTCAACATAGAAATGCAGCATTTCGATTATCTGGAAAAAACTGGAGTGTTTCATATGGTTGGACTGTTACATGTGGTAAGTGTTTTTTTTTTTTATTTTAATGTTATGTAATTTCCCTTTTGTCACATTGACATAACTGAAACCACTGAAAGTAGACTTTTGACCTAAATCTGTTTACTATATTGACACATTGTTCGGTGTTCGAATAAATAATATAAGAATCTGAATGTAGCCACAAGTCTAACTTATATAAAGTTAATGCGATACCAGCTCGTTATTTCATTGAATTTGTAAAATGAACTGCCAGAACATATACAAATTGCAGCTCAAAAATTGGACATATGCTTAGAAAAAGCTCCGGCCTACGACGGCTTTCATATCGTAGGAAATGGTTAGTAAAATTGTTCGTACGCATCAAAGATTTTGTAGTCCACCCATGTTTCTTAATATTGTCAGCACTTTCATGTTTCCCCTACCTGCTCCATACATTCTCAATTTGGACAGCTTGCTTTATATATTATGCCTCTTTACATCTATTCCAGAGGTGGCGCGATCCAAAATTAGCATGGAATCCCCGGGATTACGGCAATATTACATATATAACCATTGCTCAACGCCACATTTGGATTCCCGACTTGGAGTTCTACAACAATGCGCCTAACAAATTTATTCGCATGCACCGGAATGGGTTCGTTACTGTTAAACAGAATGGCGTGGTGTTTTGGAGTGACGCAGTTGATGTCAACATTTTCTGCACAAAAGATATGCAAAAGTGGCCCCACGACAGACACGAGTGTCACTTGGTTTTGGGCTCATGGACATTTGACGGGTTCGAGGTGGACATAATGCACGTCAATGCAAACGAAAGCATGAGCTTTTCAAATGTTAACATGCACAATATGGAATATAAGGTGGTTAGTTACAACGCATCACACGTGTCCAAATATTATCCCTGTTGTATTTATCCCTACACGTCAGTGGACTACAATATTACGTTTGAAAGGGAGTCTTCCTACGCCGTTGTTTTCCGCTGTCCCGCCATTTCAATAGCCATGTTTACACTCCTGAGCTTATGTCTGAATCCAAAACGGACTGAAAAGCTGTGGATCAATGCCATTAGCATGTGGTTAATAACGGGAGAATTGATTTATTTCGCGCAAAATGGACAAAACTTCTCCAGAGAAACACCCAACATAGGTAATTTCGAGTTGCTCTATTTATTGAAATACTTGTATCTAACATAAATATACGTTTAATTGCAGTCATTTTCTTTGGCGTCAGTTTCGTATTGGTGACCCTTTCACAATTAGTTGCTGTATTTTCAATTTTCGCCACAAGATCAGCCTTTAGGAGCAAGTCACCTTTGTCCACAAAATTTAGCAGATTTTTAAATTCCACCCTCATTTTGAAATTGGCAGCTGAGGAAGCAAAGCTGCGTACTGTAAGCCACTGTTCAAATAACTGCCGTTGCACAAAAACGGAGGACGACTCTCACCTAATAGACCGGTGTCACTCATCGGACGATTGGCAACTACTCGCAAATGTGTTACAGCGGACCACTTGTTTTTTCTTTTCCCTAATATATTTAATACTGTTTTCCATTTATTTTGTGTAAAATGATATCCCCAATTTTCGAAATGAATACATCTTCAAAACGAATGCCATTCGAAATTACTGATTATCTATATCTATCTATATATAGTATATCTATCTATATGTACATATATATAAAAATGAATTGCTGTTCGTTAGTCTCGCTAAAACTCGGGAACGGCTGAACGGATTTTTCTTATCTTAGTCTTGAAGTGTTCGTCGATCTTCAGGGAAGGTTTAAAAGGTGAGAAAAAATCGAAAACCGCGAAAAATTTGCAAAAATGTATTATGAAGCATATTTGCATTTCCACGAATTTAGTATCGAGCTTTTTTGATTGCACCACGTTGTAGTTGTTATTTTGAGATATTTTGAGCTAGAATTGGTAGCGTATCATTCTTTTAAGCCGTTATTTGCCAATTATTGAAAATTTTCAAAATATTTCATTTTATTTTTTTAATTGGATTGACATTGTATTGATTTTTTTTTGAAATTACAGAAAATAATTTAGATGTAAATCATTGAATGCTTTGACCTAAGTAGATAATAATCTATATAGATAATCGCAAAAATATATCTCACCACCAATATCCCGGTATGAAATAGTTTAAAATACTACAATGGGAATGGAGGATATATTAATTTTTGGTAGGAAGATTTGAAGATAGTAGGAAGATAGCCAGTAAAATTAAGATCGAACTTTTTATACCTTTCAACGTAGATTCCTTTAATTGATTAGGACATTTTCATGGGAGCTATGTTAAAGCATTATGTGCTCTAAAAAAATAATGTTCAAAATAATAGAAACTCAGGTTGGATAACGGTATTAAGAACATCAACATAACGAAAATAAGGCGAGAAATATGTATGGCGTCCTTTTGAAACGTTATTACAAATATCCTTGTTTTTTATGACGGGAATTTTGTATATACCTATATTGCCTAAAAGGGCTCTGTCAAAATGACTGGAAATATTTGTTACATTATTTACAATCATACAAAACGTTGTTATTATTTGTTTTCGGTGGTAGGGCTCTCGGGTTTCCCCTTTTGAAAAATAAGAGCGCGGACAAAACGTTCGAAAAAAGAGGAAGACTTTACTCTAAGAGTGAAATCGACTGGAAATATAAAATTAATTTTTCCCGAGGGTAAAAATATTGCTAGGTAGGACAACGTTTGCCGGGCCCGCTAGTTTTTTAATAAATGTGTCATCCATTTATGTTTCATAATACGAATATAATGAAATGAATATTTGCAATGAAGAATAACGAAAGAAGTTAGTATTTGTAAAATATTTATGTTTTTGACTTATGATTTGGATGAATCAGGATCAAATCATCCATATTTTTGGATGCTGTTCGCAATATTAAAACAATTTAAATGTGACAAGACCTTTGATATCCCTTATTCAAAAGTAATAAATGTTATTATGCAGTTTGAACAAAAGCGTTAAAAAAAAAAACAAAATAATAATTAGTACTTTTACAAATTAAAAATATTCTTTGAGAGTCGAGGATACTCCTCCACACTTAAGAGCGGTTTCACTCAAAGTTTCATTTCGGCCGAAAAATGCAGGGGATATACGTTTTTTGAACAAAAATAATATACCTACAGAGAGAGGATTATGTATTTCATGTCATGTTGGTCATATGGCTCTTAACTGAAAATTCATAAACATCGCAGTATGTTGATGCATTGGCTCATATTTTGTCCTGGTCGGTTTACAATGTTAAAAGCCTGTAGTGAAGCTAAGGTTGTTATTGAAGATATCGAACGTATCAAGTTGGAGAAGTCCTAAACTATCTAATGAACAGCTTTGATATGTCCTAATCGTTTCAAGATCCCTACAGTGACAAGAAACGCTGTGAGGGTTTTAATGGCCGTCGCATGAAGCATTCACTTTTATTAACTTTTGAATTGGTACGGTAAAATAAAGAGGTAGAGATTGAATTCTGGAATTTTTAATGTACATATATTTAGCTATGGTAAATGAAGTACAATACGTTAGTTTTTTTTTCTTTTACAGCGAAAAGGGTAGATACAGATATTCAAAATTTAGTATTAATCTTTAACGATTTCAAATTAAATGTTTTATGCAAATATTCTTCGACAGTTAAATGAAATATAGTTTCCAACCCCACATGGATCTATACTACAGCGAATGATATTGTGAATTCAGTTTAAACTTGGAATTTAGTGAAAAAAGAAGAAACTTCATATACATATAAGTGAACCAATAAAAACAAGCCACTGAACACTACAAGTACTAATTTTTTGCACTATAAGTTAATTTTATTCATCTATATCAGTAGTGACAGTTCATCACGGAGGGAGGCCGCGAAAAACATCAGTTCGTACCAATAAAGAAATATTTATTACAGTAAAAAAATATACTCTAGATATCGTTGGATATAACCTCAAGAACATGTCCGGAAGCCATCAAGAAAAACCTTTTATTTCTGAGAAGAATAGGAAAGCTAGATTGACTTTCGCAAAAGCTCACATTAATTGGAACCTGACTCAGTGGAGAAATGTTGTATTCTCGGATGATTTAAAATTTAATATTAATGTTTCGGACATGAAGAAATAGTGCCACGAAACACAAAATCTAAATGTTTCAATGTAATAACGACGTAGTTATAAATTTTTGTTCTCTATATTTTTAGAGTCCAATAAGCACTGCAAGACATTTTCTATGAAATGAAATACTAAAATTGCAATTGGAACTCTCACAATGAAAAAAGGTGTAGTTAATCGCAAATAAATCACTTACCAAAATTATTTATTGCAGATGATCCAACCGCTATTTTATTGCTGCAGCACTCGATTTTTTTCGTAATACGGAATATCCGTTTTACAACACAGAAATGTCCAGAAAAAAAAAGATTTTTTCACCACGAATTTCTTCAATTGATTAATGAATATTATTCACAAATATTACAATTATTTGACACCATTTTTGCGACATAATTTGTATTTTATTTCTGAGGATACGAAACGCGAAAACATACGCATTCCCGCATTTGAATTTGTTAAATAAACGAAACAAGTAAAAACGCACCATCGCCCAAATAAAATCGCGAATGTATAAAATAAACTCCAGACCACATTTGCTTTAAACCGAACATCCGAAACACAAATCAAATATGTCGTCGCCTCTGACAGATTTCTTCTTCGATCGTTTGAATATGATAATATACAAATATTATTTTGATTTGACACTTCATTTCTTCATTTTACATAGGAAGCGCACGCGATATTACAAGAACAGAAATGTATTCTATCGCTTACATTATTTAGCACAACAAGGAAACACGCAATTTCAGCTACAAACACATTTGCACATTCCTTTTCCATCACCGACAGTCGCGAATGTATAAAAGGAACGCCCGACCACATTTACATTACACCGTACTCCCACATCACAAATCGGATATGTCGTCGCTCCGTTTGTTTTTTGCTTTTTTTAACCACGGATTTCAACGATGATTACCACAAGAATAACTTACAATCCACAAAAGTTTTGCTTTCAGTTATTTATTTGGAAAATTCGATTAACCTTCGTTTCAATGAAAATTGTGGAATTGGTTTTTAACAGACTATTTCATTCAACAACAAATTGTGCACAGTTTTGTTTAATTCACTCAACAAACTTTATAGCAAAGATCGATCACACAACATTCGCGAACCGTTAACTTTGATAGAGTTACCACAGTATAAATTGCAATCGTCATTCAAATTCAGGGATTTATAGATCGATAAATGTTGAAGAATAATTATCTTGCTGCAATGATTTATAAAGCGTTTACATGTGCATCTAATATTTATATTTTCTTTATGTTTTGTTTATATTTTCAACAAAAGAAACATAACTACGTTCTGTCATAGTTGCATTTTTTAAGTTTGAAAATTCGTACGGCGACGTATTACGGTAACATTAATGTAAATACACGTGTTTTACTTTTGTGGCTTGACATGTTAAGTTGGCTTATTTTATTTTAAGAGAATATTGGCGTCCAAATTCATGTTTGACTCTGCTATTACTTTATAAATTGACAATTCATACGAAGCCAACATAACAGGCAGGTCTAAATCCTCGTATGTTTTCCCTCTTATTTTTCGCGATATTTTCCTTAAACAATAAAATTGTAAAAATATGTGAAATAAACGAAATAACCTGTTGAATATGTTTATATGTAAATTTGACACTGTAAGACATTACACTAGACTATAGTTTTTGTTAATTTCGTCAAGTAATCCTGTACCATGATTTTCATAAAAGTCGACGCTGTTGAATATGTTTATATGTAAATTTGACACTGTAAGACATTACACTAGACTATAGTTTTTGTTAATTTCGTCAAGTAATCCTGTACCATGATTTTCATAAAAAGTCGACGCTCGCTGGTGATGTGCGATGCGCTCCGGAGTTAAATAGAACATAACACGAAATAAAAAACGCTCAACGCAAACATTATGCTTAGGCCTTTGGTAATTATTTCATAATTCAGGGCGAACAACGAATGAGAAAACGTACAACGTCCATCTGTACATGACATTAAGCTTTTCAATATAAAAAGTCGATTAATCGATAAGTTAAAAGTCGACTTTTCAATACAAAAAGTCGATTAATCGATAAGTTAAAAGTCGACTTACATATCCCTATGTTAGTTCATACACTAGTTCTTCGAACTACGTAACTCTATCCGGACCGACAAATTTTTTTCACTCGGTTTGTATTTGGCAGAATCGGCATAATCAATAAACCAAACACAATAAACAGCAAGTGGCAGTTTTTGCGAGATAAAGGCGACGTCATTGTAATTACATATGTAGTTGTTGGGGTTAATTGCTGATTTTGTTTCGCCTTGATCGGGGTAGTGGATATATTACCATTTACTTCAATCCAACTTTTCGGCCCAAATCCAACTCGGCCGACTGTCGTTACACCAAGATGAAAAAGATTTTCTCGAAATTCGACAAGAATGAAAAGCTTGAGTCACACCATAACTCTGCAAAGGAAGTCAATAGCTTCGTTGGGAAAGTGTTTACGGTTGGACGTGTCACTGTCACTATAGAGGATGTGCTGGCCGAAGGTAAGTGGATTTGATTCCATTAAAACGTCACAAGACATTGCTGCTGAGATAATAGTGTTCGGTACATGGAATGGAGTGTGCAAATCATTGATTTGCTGACTCCAAGTCTTCTTAGTGAGACTCACAAAAATACACCCATCAATTGTGGAAAATAGGCACTTGATACGTATATTTTTAATTATCATACATGGTATGTGTGTGTTAGTGATTTTGTCTGGTGCACTTGAATCACAGGTATTGAGTTAATGTTTTCATGTAGTAGAATTACAGCTGATTAAGCAGAGTTTGTCTGACTATGAATATTTGACCAGATTATAAACGAATCGATTGTGCCACGAACTGAACAGTGTTAAAATGTATATATTGAAAGATGAATGAAATTTGCTGTATTTCAGTGTACATTTTATCAAATAAAT